TTCCTGCCTCGCCACTTCCTGCTCTCCTCCCTCTCACCCTATCCCATGCCAATTCAGACTTTTCCTGTTCCTGAAGCCCTTTCAGATGCACAAAGTGGCACTAAAAATACCATATATGATATAACTGGTGCAGAAACTGAAAATAATCTTCCCTCAAATAAAACACCTGCTACCATTAGGCAATACAGGTTTCCAAAGGGATTCAGACCAATTCCAAAGGAAAAAGAAAATCCTCCCCCCCCCTTTTTTTTTCTCCTTAGCTGGAAGGGTAATAGCTGCACCACAGAGCAGTAACACTTCATTTTTCCTGCCTGTGTTTGTAATCAGAGCCCTTACAGATCCAGACACCCTACAAAACTGATTAAAATTGAGGAAAAAATTGCCATGTTTTACATAGTTTTTACATATCTTTGTTCTAAATGCTAAAGACCTGCGAGACGTTCTTCTCATCAAGAACAAACACACAGACAACAGCACAGCAGCCTTCAGTGATACAACAAAGGACAATTTAAGACAAATGACTTGGAGCAAATGCTATCACTGAATAATCCCACAGCAGCTGTCATAATTAGTTACCTCCAATCTCATCAGAATCAGGGAAGTTAGAGTTAAAATCGAGCTCTCTTCCTGTAACATTGTGTAACTCCAAAACAGCAGCATTATCCTCGCTATTTTAGGATTAACATTTCTCCATAAGATAACGTGGAACCGCTCGATTCTTCCACGCCAGAACACCCGGTGCAAGGCGAGAGATGACAAAAGAAACTCGGTCAAGTTTGAGTCTCTCAGCACCTTATTTCCTGTCTAAAGAGCCCTTTTGTTCTGCTTCCCTGCATAAATGTTAATATCCTGCCATCATTAGAGAGCGGAACGACGAAGGAAAGCCCCACGCACATGAACTCCGCTGCCCCGGAGGGCGGAACGACGCCACACGACGCGATTAGAAGGGCAAAATTCCTACCAACACGATCTCCACAATTTTCTGTTCGCTTCACCCCAGATTAACTTCACTTGGAGCTGCACTTCGGCGCAACCTACCGTGGGCACGGGGCCCGCCCTCCCGCTCCTATTGGCCGAGCCGGCGGAGGCCCGCCCCGCCGGCCGGGCCGCGCCCGCTGATTGGCGGAACGGGCTGTCCGTCACGCAAAGAACTTTTCCTCGCTAGCAGGTTAGGCTGGGCGGGCTCGGGCACCCCGGGCGCGCGCTCTTAAAGGGGCCGTGCCCCGCTGCCGCCGTGACAAACCCGAGCCGCGGGCGGGCGCACCCCGGGAACGGTGCCCGGGACGGACCCCGGACCCTGTGGGTCTCCCACCCATCCCGGCACCTCGCTCCCGAACGGGGGGTCGGGGCTGGCAGAGAGGATAACACCCGAGCGGGCTGGGAACGCTTCTCCCGCGGCAATTACACAACTGCCGCCTGCTCCACTTCTGGGATAAAATTAGCTGTGGGTTTGGAGCCCATCCGCGCTTTAAGGGTGACTGGAGTTACCCCGGGAGGCCGAGCACACGATATAAATTAGTAACCCCGGCTAAAAATACATCGGGTCGCCGCTTCCAAAGACTTCCACCCATTTAAAGCATGAGTCAGCAGGAGCTCCGCAGGAAGTGACTGTCTCCATCCCACAAGGTACCACGGCTTCTGCCAGAAACTTTTTGTGCTTATTCAGGCTTCACTTGGCTGAACAAATTTGCAAAATCCTGGTCACGTTATGACAGCAGCGTTTCTCACGGCACAGCTTCCTCTCAGTGCTACACAAAAACCTGTCTTGTAGACAGGTTTTATATTAAAAGTGGTTCTTTTTCCTTCGTGCAAACACAACTATCCACTGAAAAGAGTAAAAACAAAACAAGGCTTAACAAAGATTTCACAAGTGCAGATAGGACACCTGGTTCGAGACGAACCTTGCCCCAGCCTAACAAGCAACACAGGGAAGAGGCAGAACACGGTCAGTGTTCCCTCCTGCACCCACAAGTATCATCATAGTTACACAAGACTTATCTGGGTAGCAAGGCTGCCTTACATAAAGTATTTTCACGTGTTTAGTGTAAAATATCTAAAAATACTAAGCCAGAGGAAGATAAAGCACTTGTCAGCACAAGCACATCGGGGTTGTTTTTGTCCTGTGCAAAGGCAGAGAGGAAAAACTTGTTTCTGGTTCTTGTCACCTTTCCCAGTGCTGGAACTGCCTGCCTTCCCTTCACCCACTGCCATTACCACAAAACAGGGAAGTTTTAACTTCCCTAATACAGATTAATGAAGTCCAAGGCAGTCCAGCACACTGCTTTACTGCAAGTACTGCACAGCATCAGGAAAATATTTACAGCTAAGTGCTCCCTTGAGCTGTGATACACCAAAGAGAGCATAAAAAACACCTCCAGGAGGGATATTTACTTCTGCTAAAACGATGAAATTGCACATTTTGTGTTACCCATTTTAAAGCAACCTATCATGCCAAAAATCCAAATACAACTGAAAAGCAGCAATTGGTTATAAATTGGTATGTATGAAACACTACAAGAACAGAATTAACAATATTCACATAACTTACACACAATACCTAAAATATAAACTGAAAGAAGCAGACCTTAATCCTTGCACCTGAATTCAGTGCCCTGCTGGAAGCTGATCTGGGGTCCCCTGAGCATAACTCATATTTGCATGACACTTTTTTTGATCAACCCTTATCTAAGCAATCAAAACCAAGAACACAGTTCACACAAACAAAACAGACCAATGAAGTGTCCCTCAAGTATCTCAGAAATCAACCTTGGAAAGCTTCAATTCAGAGCACATTAACTTTAGGCCCATAGAAACAGCAGCACAAGTCACAAATGATAGCAACCTAACTGCCAAGTGCTAGAAGACACGACAACCCTATAGTCAACATTGTTGATGGGGTACTTTAAAAAGAAGAGGGGAAAAAAAAACCCAAATAAAACATACTATTCCAGTCTCCAGCTCTGTTTGCTACCACAGCAGTCTCACCACCTTGTAAAGGCAATGAAAAATAATTTTTATCATCAAACATCCCACACTTGAGCTCATGTTTCTGTCACACAGGCAACTAGCAGCTCTTATCACTACAGGGGAGATGTTCCATCCCTTTTCCTCCCCACAAGCCCTGCAGTCTGGCCAGCTCCTGAAACCAGCTCTGGTGCTAATCAGCCCCTTCCACCTGCCTTGAGTCTCTGAGCTGGCAGAAGCCTCTGATGAGCAAGAGTGTGGCTTACCCAGAGCAGAAGAGGATGGCAAAGCAAACTCAGCACTGGCCTCCCAGATTTTCTTACTCCATCTCATTTAAAACCAAAACACACCCACACCATAACTGTCCTAGTAAGAAAGCCCCTAGAGTTATTTGCTATCCTCTTAAATTGAAGATCCCCACATCATCTGTGGAGTATCCAAACTAGATTCATGGCTGACCCTTAGGTCACTGGACTAGAATTCACAGGTAGACATATCTGAATCTAAATATTGGGAATCCATGCATTAAAAAATTGCTATTCAAGTCATTATCCCATGCTGAAGAAAACAGTAAAACTGGATTAAAAAGCCTAATCTTCAGTTTCTGCAAGAAGCCATCTATTTTCCCTCTAAACACACATACATTCTGGAAAAACAGCACAAGCACATTTTAAGATTCAGGCTCAAGTTAAGCCTTTGCTACTATTAAAATATCTGTAGCAATACAGAAAAAAGGAAAACAGCAGATAGCAGCTGCAAGAACACTAAGCAAGGAAGCTTTCACAACAGTGTTAAAAAAAAAATCAGTTTGCTGCCACCCAACTTTGCACTTGGACACTAAGAGAGCACCTGACTCTCATTTGACTACGGTAATCATGCAGCAGCTAAAAGGCCATTTGTTCTGTAATCTCACACACACACAAGACAGCAACTTTGGGAGACTTGACAGCTCAAGAGATCAGGAACAGAGCCCTCCATCTGTAAGTCACCAGTTCAAACAGAGACAAGAATAGTAGTGATCAAAAGCCACATGTGATGGCTGTTCAGGGATTAGATGAAGAGACTGTTACTCAATCCAGGCCCCAGCAGATCAGTGTGAACCACAAGAGCTTTCTTCACTATGTTGCACCTGGTTTTCAGTCCTGAATCCATCACATCTCCTGGATTCTGTACATGTTAATAAGTAGCAAAGAAACTGATCTGCTGCATACACACACTGAACTGGCATTGGAGAAAAGGACTTTACCCTCTGGTTGTCAATGGTGTCTGCACTACAGCATGCTGAATTTTTAATTTTTTATTATTATAGTTCAGACTTTTAGCTTTTCTTATTACTACAGACAGCTTTCAAAGTAATATTTAACTTCCCATGCCTTTCACACCCTCAGATGCTGTAACCCTATTTATAAACAATAGTTCCCAAACTTGCTGTGTATTTCTGAAAATATATCAATTTTAAAAGTACATTAGCATAGGAATTTCAGAACTATGGCATTTGAGAAATGACTCTGAGTCAATATTATAAAATTTTTTATCAAACCTAAAAAATTCCATTATTTCATGAGTGCCATGTCTACATAAAGGTAGTGGGAAAAAAAAAATCCCTATGTGAAGAAACAAATATTCCTTTTTATATTATGCATTCTTCAATACATGAGTCTGCAAAGTCTGCTACCAGTAGCTCCTTTCCAGCCTGACTTTAGTTTTAGTTTTGAAAGTTTGCAAAAGTACCCAGAATTTCCAAGCTGGATAAGCAAGATGAAAACAAGTTCAGAGTGTATGTTGACAGAAGGTCCCCAGAGCTTGGGTTCATTGTCCTGCTTCAAACACCACCACCAAAAACAATCTTCTACAGAAGCCCAACAATACACAGTTCATAGTTCTCAGCAGCACATTGCTTCCTGAGAATGAAACTGCTGCTGAAAAACCAAGGTCCTAAAACCTAGCAGGAAACTTATCCTTAGCTGGAACTAAGGAGGCCCTCACGTACAAAGAATTCTGCTTGCTATTCCAGGAGTTTGAAGAGAACAACATACCAGACTGATGAGATTTCAGTAATCTTGAACTTCTGAGATTCCTCTTGCTGCTTTCAATCCCAGACGTACTAGTGCACTGCTACAATCAGATCTGGAAACAACAAAGAGGTGCATGTGGTAAACACAGAGAGCTCTGCTGAGCTGTCTGGACAGCAGCACAGACACACCAGATAGACACATCCCACTGGGTTGTTTTAGCAGCTATCTCAAAGCTTAGCTGACTTGAGATATTATTAATGTTCCAGCATGTTACACCCCAACTCTTTCTATATAGGCAAAAAACCCTTAACAGAAACATTTGTCCCTGCCCTGTGGCCTCCTGACCTACAAAGCTGGAGACCCCTAACAGGTTTTAACTTCTCAGCAGCTGCCATATGGATTTGCTTTGGGGTGCTTGTTGGAGTTTTTGGCAGGATGTGTGATTTGGTTGCATGTTTTCTCTTTCTTTTTTTTAAATCAGAACACAGAATTTTATCTTGTACAGCTGCACAACCAAGGTCTCTGGTGACACAGGGCCACATCACTTGCTCGAGCCAAAGTCCTTGAAAAAGGATCTAGACATTTTAAAAGACACTTCCTTGATATCAAGTATGTCTTGGGTGGAGCAAAAATAAGCATACTACAGTTTCCATTGAATTCAGCATGGTCCAAGTGCATTTATACGTAATCTATAATAATCTTTGTAGGTCAAATGATGTATCTTGAATACTAGTCACAGCCCATTCAGTATTAAAAAAAAAAAAAGCTGGATAGCACTTAAGAAAATGGAGCCAGAAGTTTGTATACTTCCAATTTTCTCAGAAATCAGACTGATTAATATAGCTGTTACAAAACGACACACTTTCACAGAAACAGGGATTACCTTTATCTGTAACCATAGCAACTTTTCAGTAGTTTGTGTTAATGTTACTCTGCCTCTGATAACTTGCCACTATCTCTTTCAAGCTATTTGTGTAAGGTTTTGAATGTGCCATCTGAGACCATGCAGTAACAAGAAGTTGAAATGTAAACTTACATTCTTCAATGACACTCCTGTAAGGATACTATGTCATATACAATGCTGTTAATTTTTGCCATAAATTCATGATTAGTCAAGAAGTTAAATAGAAACAGATTAAAATAAATTTAACATGATTCACAGGTTTTTAAGACAAACATTTTAAGAGGTATTCTATGAATATATACAGGAGACAGTTTTCCCACTAGTAAAGAATATCTTCTTCTCTATCTGCAAAGTAACAAACCCAAGGAATTATGCCACTGACATGTCAGAGACTTTATCATTCAGTACCATAAGGAACAAAAATCCTCCCATTATACATTTATTTTGGCCTGAAAAATACAAGACAGATCAGAAAAGAGCCAATCCCCTTTTTCTAAAAGTTTGTTGATAGTAAAGAACAGGTACCTCAGCACTACAAAAATAAATCAGATAAAATTCAAAGAGTAAAGCTGTAAAAGTTACAGGACAGAGAAGAAAGAGACAAAGGCATGAACTGACATATTTACTTCCTCAACTGTCGACTTACCATCACCCACAGTTCAGAAGAGGATTAGCACTCTGTGTAAAATATTATTTAAGATGACACAAGACAAACAAAAACGTTTTCTTGTAAGTAGGAGGAAGAAGAGAATAATTTCTTCTTTTTTTTTTTTTTTCTTTCGCTGAAGCTCACAGGGCAGCTTACCAAGCTGTGCCCTTCTTTTTTCAGTGCAGAGTTTGGCACAGTTAAGATGTGAGCACAGAACCTTAGAAGAGTGAAAGAAGCTCGGCACGCTCTTTGCTCCCTGTAACTCTTATGCAATGACACCTATTATAGGACAAGCCTGGACAAACACCCGGGAATGGACTTCAGAACACAACGGTGCACTTGAAGTCAAGCCATGCAGGGGGTGAAGAAACCACCACGGTTTTGCTGAATGCCTCCACATTACACCAGCACATACGGTGGAAGCTTCTGTATTTCGTTGTTGGTACTGTTGTTATTAGCAGTAAGGCAACTGCCCTTTTTATTTTCTAAGGTTACCCAATCCTAACATCCTGTGGAAACACGAGTGGATGTTCACACCCTTTATCTATCACTCCAGGCTTTTGGCAAAGCCTAGGAGGCAAGTTGGGTTAAATCTCACGGGCTTCCAGGGCGAACACCAAAACAACAACACTAACTTCTCATGAAGCAAAACGCCAAAGTACGACAGACTTTGCAAACATTAACCCTTGGTTCAACTAGAAGGGCGGAACAACACAAAGCGCACGCTGATTCCCTGTGAGCACCCCGTCCCCACAGCAGCCAAAGCCGCCGCACCGGGCTCACCCGAGGGGCAGCGGGGCCCGCTCCGGGCCGGGGGAACCGAGGGGCGGCCAGGGCAGCCGGAACCCCGCGGGCCGTGCGGAGGGCGCGGGGCCGGGCCCGGCGGGCGCAGCGCCGGCCGAGGGCCGGCTCTGCCTCTCCCTTCCACCCAAGGACACGAGTACAAACACCTCTGCCCCGGGATGGCTCCTGCGCACGCAGCCGCCGACGGGGGTGGGGAGAGCAGGACGGAACCACCAAAAAAGGCAGAGAAAGAGCCGCGGGCCCCGCGCCCGCCGCCGCCCCGCAGCCCCTCGCCCGCTGCGTGCGGGGGTCGGGGGCACGAAGGGGGAACCCTCCCCACAGCCCCTCCGCCGCTCCGCTCCGCTCCGCGGCGGGGCCGGTGGGCGGGCGGCCGCCGTCCCCCCGCCCCGTCGCGGTGCGGAGCCGCAGCCCCGGCCGCAGCCCCGGCCCCGGCCCGGCCGCCCCGGCCCCGCCGCGCTCCCTCACCTGCGCCGGGCCCGCCGCGCCCGCCGGCCCCGCTCGCTCCTCACCAAACTTTTTTTTTCCCCTTTCTCCGTGTTTCGTTGCCCTCGGAGTGACGCGGGCGGGCGCTGATTGGCGGAGCGCAGGCAGGGAGGCCGCGGGGAGCGGGAGGCGGCGCCACGGCCCGCGAGTAATTATTACACGGCGACGGCGGCGACGTGAACCACGGAATGCTATTTAAAGGGACAGCGCCCGCCCCGCCGCCCTCCCGCCCGCAGGGGTGACTTGAGGCGAACGCGGCGGCGGGAGGGCGAGCGGGCAGCGGCTGCTGGGGCGGCGGCGGCCGCGCTCCTGCCCCACAAATAAATTCATTTTGCTGTAAAATACCCGTAGATGCGCCCTCTGCCCTTCAGGTCCGTGAAGGGGAAGGTGTCTCCTGGCGGGGCTCAGGGCGCTGTGTGGGGTCAGTTCCTCACAGGCCCCTCGCCTTCTGTGCCCTGCGGTGCCCTTGGAGTCTCTTGTTATCTATAATGTCACCTGCTTGTTTGTGTTTTCTTCTCTCCTTGTGGGGCTCATAGACAATCCACTGCTGCTTCTTTACATGGACCCCTGACACCCGATATATATGGATATAGCTACTTTTTTTTTTTTTTTTTAATATATTTTCCCTGCTTGTCACAGCCCATACCATGCAGGCAGGTTTTAAAGGTGAGATTTAAGGATGCTGAGTAACTTGATGGGAGCAGATGGGGAGTACAGAATTCCAGGGACGTGAAACAAGCCAAAAAAAGGAGAATTTTATCTGTAGATAGGGGAGAGGAGCGGGCCAGGGCTGGAGTAGCTGCCAGGAGGTGAGTGGAGCTTGCAGAGAGTTTTGGAGGAGGGAAGGACGAATGTGCAGTCGTGCAGCCAGAGAAGCTGAGGCTGGGTAAAACACATTTCCATTTCAGAAAATAACAGAATATACTGAGCTGTAATGGGCCCATCAGGATCATTGATTTCCTAGGGATACTCTGAAGAGATTTAAAATTTGGAGTCTTTTTTTGAGCAGAGGAAAGCATTGCAAGGGGACACAAAGATTTCAGCAAAGATAAAATCAAAGCAGAGGCTTCTCAAGAGCTTGCCATCACCCACATTTAGAGCTGAGTAGGTAGATCCATAAAACTGGAAAAAGCCCTAAAAGATAAGAAAACACCTTATTTGTTTGTTTGTTTTGAATATCAGAGCTTGGATCAACACTAGAAAATGCTGGTGCAACCAGCATGGAAGTGCTAGCACAGCTTTACAGCTATTTTGGTCGAGATTATTCAGTCTTGGCTGCCTTTGCTGATGCAATAGGTTTTCCAAATGCCAGGTTGCATGAGCAGAAGATGACCTGCATTGCATGTGGGTATCACAGCATTCACCACAACATTATTTGGAGCACTTTCATGGTCTTGGCAGTAATCATAAGGAGCTGCAGGGAGTGATGATTGCATTCCTCCCAGCCTCTCCATGATCATCTCTTTTTAATATGATTTTTTTTAAACCTTGAATTAATTCCCTCTGGTTGTTCTCAGACTGCTTTCTTTGTGTCAAATTTCATCTCATCACTGGAAATACAAATGCAGAATAGTAGGGCACAGCATCCTCAGTGTTCAGGAAAAGGCCAACTGATTGTTCTGCAGCTGGGAGTGACCAGCGCAGCAGCTGGCAGAACAGCAGTGCCAATACAAGGGAAATGCAAACAGTGAACAAGACAGACACCTCCTGCCAGGACTTACTGACCAGCAACACATGGTGCAACAAATGTGAGGCTATGGCATCAGATGTCAAGGGGGAGCAGCAGGATGTTCAAATGTGATCTTACTCAAGTTGAGGGTGACACTCGTCAGTTCTCATGTGCTGAAAAGAGAAAACTCATTGACAATAATGCTGGAGTAAATGGGGTTTTTGGAGCATTCAGAATCACTGTGTTCGGTACAGTCAAAAGCTGCCACAGCTCAGAAGAGGCAAACAAACTCTAGGAAAATAGGGAACACAAAGTTTCATGCCATTTGCATTAAAAAAAGCCAGCAGTCAAGCTGTCTCTGAGGAAGAAAATTCCCAAACGAGATAGCCAGGTTTATTCTTGGGGTAGAATAAAGGATGCATTTAAAAATTACAAGTACATGTTGTTCCACTGTGAATGAAAAGCATAATATTGAATTGTGTTCTGTTTTCTGAGGTACTGATAGGCTAAAAAACCTTGCTGAAGTCAAGCAGGATAAGGATTAAAAGGGAAGTGTCTAATCAGAGAAATGGCTAAGGTGTTAACCACCCAGTGAAGGGCATCCTTGGCTTTGAAATCAGCTGAAAAAGTCAAAAGTGATTCCGAGCCAGCAGCTGAAAACAGAAGCCTGTTTTCTGTGGACCACTGCAGAGAAGGAGTTGGAGGCTATTGGTCCACCTTAAGTTGATCAGAATAGTTTTTATTTTTAAATAAAACATAGGAATAGAAATATAAAATATAAATTAGGAATATATTTTTATATATATATAGGAATATTAAAATATATTAAAATATTTTTACAAAATAAAGGACACACGACTGCCTGAAGCATGGGGAGCCTGATATTCAATGGCATGTTCTGGAAGGAAAAACTTCATTCTAGCAGGCATGATTTTGCTTTGACAGAGAAATCCTAAAGAACTCCAAACAATTAGGCAGGAGATCCTAGTCCAAGCTGAAACAGCCAGGTGAAAGGTTTTTCCCAGCTGTGCCAGTGATTTGATGATGTATGGCTAACTGGTGAGAGGTAATCAGTGAACGTTACTTCCTCTTCTGTAACGTCACAACTGGAACAGTGTTTGTTCTCCTTGACCTGAATTACTCAGCTCTGCTTTCATATATTAATGTTCCAATCACCTTCATTCCCCAGCACAACTCATTTTCATGGTTTTAAGGACTATCTATTCATGTACCTCTTTGGAAAATATGGGCACAATTTTTCTGAAAGAGGTTTCTTCTGATTTGTACTCGCTTCTCCCAAATCCATTTAATCTATCTGCTAACACAGAGGACCTTTTCCTTTGCCTCCTCTTATGTTTGCTTCTGCTACGGTAGCTTGTTATTTCTTTTGCTAAAGCTTTAGATATCACTAGAGGAATCTTAGTAATGTATTCATTTTGAGGTAGATTTATCTTCAGAGCTGGAAAATGGGAAGTCTCTTCTTCACCTCCGTGGGCTTTGGATCTGGTGTTAAGTGCTAACATCATTTCAGTTCTAATCTTGTTGTTTGGAGCTCAGTGTGCAGCTCCTGACTCTGCTGAGATTTTCACCATAGGTTTATTGAGAGCAGAATCAGCTCCTGCTTCCTGAGAGACAGACTATAAAAATAGGAAAGAAATAAGCACACAGTTCTCTTGAACAAGTGAATCTTAAATTTTATTTTATTTGATTCTGAGTCTCACTGGATTTTTTTTTTTTTTTATCCACAGGTACTTTCACCCCTGTTCTAAGCCTTATCCTAAGAAGATGAATTGGAGTTTCAGCTACCCAGGCCTACTGAAAATTGGGCCCAGCAGTTATTTGGCAGTGGCCTTCATGAGCAGCAATGCCAGCTTTCCATTTCAATTCCCACATTCAGAGATTTGCAGAATTAGAGTCCAAATTCTGCTTTGCAAGCCCAGAATGCCACTGACTTCAAGGGGGTTGTAGGATTTTAGCCAAGAGCAGAAGTTGGCCCAGGATTTTTTCAGACTCCCTCATGCTTCTGTTTATATGATATTACCATCAAGCTCTATTAGCATGCTCCATGATGCATTTTACTTTTAAATTACATAAAGGATATTTACTGTGCTGATGCTACATAGTTTGCAAGAAAGATGCACATGTGGAAATGAAAAAACATCAATTACCATCAGGATTTCCAGCTTTCAGCATTCATTTTCCAAAACAACCCAGGGACTATTTCTCATCAAAAAAAAAAAGAGCAGAAATGAAAATCCAATTTCTTGGCATTTAAGTATGGCATTCTGGAGCCTTACTCATCAAGCCTGTTGTGAAAATGGTTGGAATAAAAAAGCCTCATATTGTTCAAAACTTTAATACTCTGCTTTTGTTTTCTGCATACTGGTTTCCCAATCAGAGACATGAGTCCACCCCTAAAAATAACGAAATGTTTTTCTGCCTCTCAGAGGATGGGAAAAAAAAAATCATCTGGTGAAAAACTGAGTGATCATCAGGGATAATAGGTAAAAACACAGGTAGAGGTTGAGGATTCGTGAGTGAAACCTGTGAGATGCCAGGCATCAGAGGATGCCCACCTCAGCATCTTTCAAAATGAGGCAGATTGTGCTGCCATGTGGGAGCTTCCTTCTAGATAGCCTTGTTTAGAAATCTGGGCTGGGGCCTTTAAATGCCCTAATGACTCCCTACTTAAGCTTTTAATATCCATGTTAAATAGTTCATTGAGCATTCAGGAGAACAGTGTGCCATTTTGGGCTGATGAGTAACTTTAGGCGAAGAAGTTATGTTGCACCTCTGTGTTTTTTCTTCTCCTGCATCTTCTTTGTCTGTGTGGATAGAAAGCCTTTCAGGGCAAGAGTGGCTCATGTTGTGCATGTCTAGTCATCAACACAGCAACTCCAGTCTCACTGGGAGCCTCTCTGCCCATAACACAACCCTCTGAACATGTCTGTCTATGCTTTGGATATGCTACAGGGTTTGAGCATTAATTACTATTAATTAGTATTTAAAACCTGGACTCCTAAATTCTGTAATATTAAAGTAGCCATTTACCATATGCATAAACCCTTCCATAAATGGGTCACTGCACAGAACGCCTAGAAGCTATCCACTGCTCTGGTGACCTGCTGCTAAATTGTGAGGACACAGGGATCAGAGATGCTCTAACAGGGTGGCTTTGGCCCCTGAAAAGTCTCCATGTACTCAGGAAAGCTGGCCCTACCTGTTTCTGCTCTAACCCTTGAAATTTAAGGGGAGCAAAGATCCCATTGTCAGGGCATCACTGCTTGGTGATCCTTTAATAGCAGCACTCTTTCAGAGACCTTTAAATCCAGCAGAATTTAATGCCTCCCTGAAGGTACTCTGAGCCAATTTTTGCTTTTGCAACTTTTTGTTGTCTCCACTGCATGTAGGAGAGCTCTTAGCTCGTACTGTGTCACTGGATTCTTGGATTTAGAGAGTT